TGGAGGACAAGATGGAACCTTGCATGACCTTGTAAGCCTGAAGCCAAGGGTGAAGCAGCAGTCCCCTAGCACCACACTCTGAAATCTGTCTTTGAGGTGAACCAAAACTGCCACAGAACAGTGATATTAGCTAGTATAAATGTTTTTTTAAAAAAAGAGGATTAGACAGGTTTGTGGAGATTAGGTCCATCAGTAGTTACTAGGGTTCCCAAGTACTTACTGTGATCCAGCGGGGGAAACATGCTCCCCGGCTGGACCATTCCTCCCTGTAACACACCATGCCGTCACCAGGAAGTGATGCTGGGCAACGCTCTGGCAATGGGACTGAAAACTTGATGGTACCATTGAGTTTCCAGCCCCATTGCCAGAGCGTTGCCCGGCATCACTTCCTGGCGACGGCATGGTGCGGCGCGTCTGTTGTCCCCGCAGGAATGATCCTGTGAGGACGTCTGTGTCCCCCGCTGAATCACGGTAAGTACTTGGGAAGCCTGGTAGTATTAGCCAAAATGAGTAAAGGGAACTTTCACGTCCTGAGGCAGTATACTTTTGAATGAGATTGCTAGGAGGGAACATCACTGGATGGCCTCTATGCCCTTTTTGGTGGCCCTCTGGAACAACTGATTGGCCAGTGTATGAAATAGGAAGCGAAGATAAAGCATTGATCTGATCCAGCAGGGCTTGTTTTATCTAGTGGCTGTATCATGAGGATTATTTATTCCACAAACATTATGCAGCAGTTTTTACCGATGGTTACAAACTCCAAAACCATGTGGAACATAAGCACAGTCTCCCAAATGAATAATCTGTGTTTACTGCATAAATTTTGTGCCGTCTCATTGGTCTTGAATTACATTAAATTTCTGCATTTACTTATACAGTCCCATAGAATTTGTTGCTTGCTTTAGTTTTGTTTAGCTTCAGATCTTACCTTTTATTTTTGGGAATCTTTTCCAAGTACAACTCTTTTTGCGTAGAGAGTTACCATGTTATTATTTGTTGGGTTTTTGGACACATTAGAACTAAAGGCTGGTCAGGCTGGCAACTCAGGTTACTGGTAAGCATGTAATAATTTCATTTAGATATTTTAAATCTTCTGTAAAGCTAAACAAAAGGTATGATAGTCAGGTCTACAGGCAGAAAAATAAGTTCTTTTGAGTATAAAGCAATGTTTTCATCTTGATCAAATGCTTCCCCAAAAAGACATAGGTCTTTTTGTTGTGCTGAGAATCGTAAAAGGAGTTTATACTCTCTGGTACTTGCATAAGGGGAGATATTGGCCCTTTCTGCACTCTCCTTTTAATCTATGTTCATCACAGTGTCCTCCAAGCAATTCTGCACTAAAATTGAATTCAACCTTTTAATCCAGGGTTTTTTTCCCATTCTGCACTAAAACCGAGTGCAACCTTTTTATTTCGGGGTTTCCCACCATTCTGCATTACATTACCTCCCTTCAGTGGTCAGCCCTGTTTCAGACTGTTGTTGCCCTGGGGTTATTTGGATGCTGTTTTGCTGTGGATTTAAATTGCCTTGACTTGAACACTGAGAAAATCCGGAGTGGCAGGCATATGCGTAAAGGACCATTATGCGTGCTTTGTACTGATCTCCTCTGTGTTAAGTAGGTGTTATTTGTGTGATCATGTTCTTGGCCTTTTGGCTAAGATCAAATGTAGTTTTGAAATTGCTGGTTAGGTTTTCCCCCCTGGACCCTGCCACCTGACCCACATCAGGTTGTCTCTTACTATTCCACTTGGCTAATGGAGGAACCTTCAGTGCAAAAATCCTTTATCTGATGCAAGAGGCTCTTATGCTGGCAGAGAGTGCTACCATTAGAGAGATGGGATACAACTCTTTATCACCTCAGCTTTATTTCTGGGTGGGTGCTACTTTTAATGCTTTCTTCTTACTTCTGTTTAAAATGGCTAGTTGTCTCTGTAAGACCATGGGAACGACTGGTACCTGGTTTGCTGAAGAAAGAAAGTTTGAAGCATAAACTATACAGAAGTTTTAAAAGGTGGCTTGAAATCTTGGTATATTTTCCAAGTAAAACACTTTTTGCCTAGACAGTTACCATGGCTTAGATACTGCTGCATGATAAAAATCTCTTACGTGTCCTACCCACCAACCTTACGGAAGATTTATGTCCGTCATTGTCTTTTGCCAAAAGGTGAATACACATATGGTGGGAATGATAGACTGAAGAACCATACAGAAGATGCAAAAGGATGACAGATTCCTTCCAAGAAGAATATTTTAAAGAAGAACCTACACTTTTAGAAAGTGAAGTGAAAGCCGCACTGAGAACAGTTGGCAGAAACAGATCACCAGGAGTAGATGGGATATCAATAGAGCTATTCCAAGCCACAGAAACAGGGTCCATCAAAATCTTAACAAGAATATGCCAACAAGTTTGGAAAACAAAACAATGGTTCACAAACTAGAAACACTCAATTTACATTCCAATTCCAAAAAAGGAGATATCAAAGACTGCAGTACCATTGGATGATCACATTACTTTATCTTGTAAGTAAAGTGATGCCCAAAATCTAACAACAAAGATGTTTACCGTATATGGAACAAGAAACCCCAGATGCTTAAGCTGGATTCCGAAAAGGAAGTGGTACTAGAAGACATAATAAAAATCTGTGTTGGTTACTGGAGCATATGAGAGAATTTCAGAAGAAAATCAGTTTGTGTTTCTTAGATTACAGCAAAATATTTGACTGTATGGATTGTGAAACACTATGGTTGGTTTTACAAGAAATGAATGTGCCATAGTACCTGATTGTTTTGATGCATAATTTATACTCTGGACAAGAAGCTACTGTTAGGACAGAATATGGAGAAACAGAATGATTTCCAATCGGCAAAGGTATCAAACAAGGATGCATTTTATCTCCCTCTCTGTTCAATGTGTATGCAGAATGTATTGTAAGGAATGCTAGATTAGATTTAGATGAAGGTGGAGTGAAAAACTGATGGAAGGAACATTAAAAGTTTGAAATATGCAGTTGACACCATATCACTGGCAGGAAATAGAGAAGACCTGGAACAACTACTGAAAGGTTTAAAGCAGAAAGTGCCAAAGCAGGATTACAGTTGAACATCAAAAAGACAAAAGTAATGACTTCTGAGGAATTATACAGTTTTAAGGTTGAAAATGAAGAAGTTGAAATTGTTCAAGTTTTTCTGTTCCTTAGCTCCATCATTAAACAAAAAGGAGACTGCAACCAAGAAATCAGGAGATTGAAACTGGGAATGGTAGCCATGAAGGTGCTAGAAAAGATTCTAAAGTGTAAGGATGTGTCACTGGTGACCAAGTTAATTCATGCCATAGTATTCCCCATTACTATGTATGGGCGTGAAACTTGGGCGGTGAAGAAAGCTGACAGAAAGAAAGTTGATTCATTTGAAATGTAGTGTTGAAGGAGAGTTTTATGGATACCACAGACTGCCAAAAAGACAAATAAGTGGGTTGTAGATCAAATCAAGCCTGCATTCTCCCTAGAAGTTAAAATGACCAAACTGAAACTATTGTACTTTGGTCATATTATGAGAAGACGTCACTGGAAAAGATAATAATGTTAGGAAACGTTGAGGGCAGCAGAAACAGAGGAAGACCCAACATGAGATGGATTGACTCTATAAGGGAAGCCATGGCCCTCAGTTTGCAAGACCTGGGCAAGGCTTTTAATGATAGGATGTTTTGGAGATCATTAAATTCATAGGGCTGCAATAACTCGGGAGCAACTTGACAGCACTTTGTTGTTGTTGTTGTTCAGTCGAGTCCGACTCTTTGCGACCCCATGGACCAGATCATGCCAGGCCTTCCTGTCTTCCGCCGTCCTCTGAAGTTGGCTCAAGTTCATGTTCGTTGCATCTATGACACTGTCTAACCATCTTATCCTTTGCCGTCCCCGTCTTCTTTGACCTTCAGTCTTTCCCAGCATCAGGGTCTTCTCCAGTGAGTGCTCCCTTCTCATTTGGTGCCCAAAGTATTTGAGCTTCAGTTTCATTATCTGGCCTTCCAGGGAACAGTCAGAGTTGATTACTTTTAGGATTGACTGATTTGATCTTCTTGCAGTCCAAGGGACTCTCAAGAGTCTTCTCCAGCACCATAGTTCAAAAGTATTTATTCTTCGGCACTCGGCCTTCCTTATAGTCCAACTCTCGCAGCCATACATGACTACTGGGAATACCATTGCTTTGACCATGCGGACTTTTGTTGGCAGGGTAATGTCTCTACTTTTTATCATGCTGTTTAGGTTCGCCATTGCTTTCCTCCCAAGGAGCATGGCTGCTGTCACAGTCTACGGTGATCTGGAATCCCAGGAACATGAAGTCTGTCACTACTTCCACGACTTCCCCTTCTATTTGCTAAGGAGTGATGGGGCCAGATGCTATGATCTTAGTTTTTTTGATGTTGAGCTTCAAGCCCACTTTTGCGCTTTCCTCTTTTAACCCTGAGCAAGAGCCTCTTTAGGTCCTCTTCACTTTCTGCCATTAGAGTGGTAGCGTCTGCATATCTGAGGTTGTTGATCTTTTCCCCAGCAATCTTAATTCCCGCTTGTGATTCATCCAGGCCAGCATTTCGCATGATGTACTCTGCATATATATTAAATAAGCCAGGTGACGATATACATCCTTGTCGTACTCCTTTTCCTATGCTAAACCAATCAGTTGTTCCATATCCGTTTCTAACTGTTGCTTCTTGACCCTTATACTTTACGGTATAAGTCCAGCACTTTACAGACATATATATGCATGTTTAAAACTAGTTTTAATTTTTTTTATTGTTCTCTCTTTGGGGACCTAAGTTGGGTGCAAAGCAAGAAGAAAAATGTTTTAAATAAATATATTTCAAAAATATTATCAAACATAATTGGTAGTGAGACATTGATGCACATATTTTTTTATATCACTAAAACTATTGATACTATGTTTGTATCTATTTACTTAGAAAAAGTTCAAAATGTAATTTTTAATTCTTTCTTTCCCTTTAGGTACTAAGTTTATTTTGTGAAGCTTGCAGGAAAGTGACCTTTAATCTGCCTTCCAAACTAGAAGCAAGGACATTGATTGGCAAAGGTGAGAAACTGCAAGAATACTAGGGTTGCTAGCTATCGGAGGGAAAAAATATCATGTACCTTTAATCAGGGGTCATTTCATAGAAAAAGAGGTGTAGGAGCTCATTAGCATAACTTATTTGCATATGCCACACACCCCTACATCACTGGAAGTGTGTCAGAAGGCAACACCCACCACTCAGGCTCCACTGGACTTTTTTGGATTGCTAGCTATTGGGGGGGGACATGCAGATCTGCCCTCACAGAGGAGGGAGAGCTTGTACCTGAAGATGGGCCGGGGGTGGGGGGGCTCTGCAACTTACCCGGTTGTTTCTTGCTCCTCATGGCCCAACTGAGGGCTGCTGGAAGCAGGGGGTGGGGCTTGTTGCATGTGCCCACCCCCTGGGCTCCTTACTGCCGGAGCTCCGCTCCTGTGCGCTCCCGCAAGAAATGACCCCTGCCTTTGATAGAGGATTAAATGCCATGAACAGCTTCAGTTACCATTTCTACACATTAAGCCTCTATTAAAGTAAAAGGACTGTTCTTTCCAGATCTGTTTGACACCCCTAAAGAATATATTAAAATAATAATTATCTTCTTTCTGGTGTTGCTTTTTCAGTGATATTTTCTATTTTTTCACAACAGTGCACTTGTACACAGAATTACAGTCTTCTAAGCCACTTGACTTCAGAAGACTTTAGATATACAGCTGTTGGGGATTGCACCACAAATGCGGAGGACATGGGCAAGCTGTAGATTCCCCCCTCCCCCTGGTGATTCTAAACAAAACACACACCAACAACAACCTTACTCATGATCAAGTTAAAAAAATTGCTAAGCAGCTTTAGGATCTTGTCCTTAATTATTATAAATGTGGCAGTGATCTTCCATTTGTTGCAGATATGTTAATTGAAGCACAATATACTGTGAGGAATGGTCAACACATATTCAGTGCATAGGCTTTAAATGTTCATTACTTAGAGCTTCAAATTTAGATGCTAGATTTAAATGACAGTTAAACACAATTTTCCTGGCTGCTAAATATTCAATAAATGTTGAAAATACAAAGCTGAACAAATTTCATGTATAGCCCTATCTTTTAATGTGCTATGCTACCAAATAAATTATTATCGTGGGGCATAGCTAGTGGCAACTTCAGTGTAATGTCACAATGGGTGATGCTGTGCTAATACTATGAGGAATTTTAGACAGGCGATATATTCCGGTTCAGGAACGGTTCCCAAATGGTTTCTGGTCTGACATTTCAGACAGAACCGTTTTAGAACCGATTTCCTACTAGAATATATTTGCACTTTCACACACAAATGCTTCCGTCCCGTTGAGGAAACGGGGCTGAACCGTTTTACCTGTAAACCACTTCCAAGTAGTCTTCAGTTTCTTCTCCCGGATCTGAAATGCTTTTTCCCACTGTTTATCGCCCGCGTGGGTGATCTCCAGCTTTTAAAAAAATGTTTGCTTTAGAGCGCTATAGCGCTATAACACAACAGCAAAACAGTGTTATAGCAACCCCACTGGAATGCCTGGAGTGTTGTGTTATAGCGCTATAGCACTCTAAAGCGAACATTTAAAAAAATCCAGAGATCGCCTGCGCGGGCGAAAACAGCAGGAAGAAGCAGTGCAGTCTGAAACGGTAAATCGCTTCAGATCCAGCTGTTTACCAGTAGGGGAAAGCCATGTGTGAAATGGCAGCCCTATATCAGTTTACTCCACGACAGATCAAAAACGGCTTCAAACCGGCTTAAAAAGGGTAATATGAAATTCCTCTATGACAACTTTACTGAGGCATTTCAAGTATGTATACAGCTTCAAACGTTTAGGTATAATTTCCTAATTTTATTCGTAGGCAGAAAAATTAGGAATGATTACTAGCCATTGTTGAAGATTATTTGTGTATTATTGCCCTTTCTTTTTACAATTTTTCTTACAGTAAATCTGAAACAGTGTCTCACGACTTCAGACCTGATCAGTTCAAGTGACCCTGACTTCATAGTTCGAGATGATGGTTCTTTGTTTTCAGCAAATGCCCTTTCATTATCTACTGACAGAAATTTTACCATATTGCTTAAGGACACACAAAAACATGTGCAAAAGAAATTGCTTGTCATTTTGCAATCTGTTCAGAAAAAGGTAAGGGATACTCATTTATATAAAAAAATATGTGAGCAAGGTGCATTTCAGGTATATTCCTCGCATGCAAAACTGTTAATGTTATGTGCACTGCTGTTTCAGCAACTGTAATTATCTTCCTGATTCACGCCCAAATTTAAATAGGGTATTTTTGATTAAGCAAGTTTATCTCATTGAGTTCAGTGCAGTTTAAGTAATTCATTGTACAGTGGAACTTGCTATTTCAGGACCCATATGGTTTTTACTGAAAACAGCAGTTTTTAATCTCCTTTCTTCACAGTAACATCTAGGGAAGTGAAGCACATGACAGAATTGCACTTTTGAGTTTGCTCACTCCTGCAAACAGCAGCCCATTGAAATGGAGTGGGGGCAGGGAAACTCCATATGAGGCAACATCACTATGCCGTGTTTTGTAATACCAGACATTATGGGGGAGAGAAGAGGTAACACAGGTCAGGTTTGCTGGTTTTAACAGCCACACAGCTTCTATATTGTATCATTCTGATTTTAATAGATATGTGGCTCAAGATATGTCACCAGAAGATATGGGTAGAGTGCATAACTTTAGCACCAACTCCCAGGTAGAGAGTTTCTTTCCACTTACAGTGGATGTAAAAAAGGATGATGCTCTTTACCAAAGGTATTAAAATACTAGAAAAAAATCTATTTTGGGCTGTGAGTGCTATACCAAAACATCATCGCAATTCAAGAAGAAGAAGAAAATGATCAAGTGCTAGAGGAAGCTGACAGAAATACTAGTCCATTGAATAGATGAAAAAATTGGGAATATAACAAAACAAACAGACACACATATCATTAGAATGTTGTATCGATATTGTTTCTGTCTTCCAAAAATCAGGTCCCTGAAAAAGGAGAGACTGTTCGTAGAAGAAGTAAACGAAGATGGGCTCCTGTTCCAACTACTATAATGGAAAACTCTCTGGGACCTTTTCCAATGCAAATTCAGCAGGTAGCTTTTATAGATGATACTAAAAAGGTTCTTTCCTATTTTACTTTCAGGCATACATTCTATGAAGGATATAACTCTGAGAAAACCTAAGTAAGCTATTATCTTAGGATAAAAAATAGCAGTGACTTAGGTTTGAGTAAAAAAAGCACAATGTATGTAGTTGTTTATAGATCCAGTGTATAATGTGTGTTGATCATATTCAAAGAGGAACTTGTAGAAAAACTCTGCATGCTGTAGCTACACCTACAACTTGATTTCCTTTCCAACACAAGATAAATTACGGATGAGATTAAAAAAGAGCCTTGAACTCATTGTAAAAGTGATTATGAACCAGGATTGCTGCTCTTCTTGCATTTTGCTTCTAAATACATATAGAGTACAATTCTAGAATCTCTTTCCTCGGAGTAAGCCCAATGAATACAATCATAGAAACAGAGTTGGAAGGGATCTCCAGGGTCATCAAGCCCAACCCCCTGCACAATGCAGAAAATTAACAAATACCTCCCCCCCACACCCCCAGTGCTGCTGTTCCATGTCCAGAAGATGACAAAAAACCTCCATGATCTCCAGCCAAAGTGGCGTAGAGAAAAATTGATTCCTGACCCCAAAGGAATAGACCTTAGGATTCTGAGTGGACCTTAGGTTAGCAGTGATAGTGTGATACCATTCTATAAGATTGTTATTATTATTTTAATGAAAAATATAATACAACAAATTATATCAAATTGCAATGACATATTATAAATATTTACCCTTGAAACAAGCAGAGTAAAGGAGCCTTCTGTGGAATATATTCCCCAATCGTAACCAGCTAAATCTGACACCATTTATATATATATGCTAACATTTTCATCTGGCTTGATCCTGTTCCAAAGTAGGACAAATACTGTCAGTTCTTGATAAATAATTTTTGTGAATCTTTTGTATTGGAGGTGTTTATATGCTGTCATTTTATCTGTAGGGTTGCCTGGCAACCAGCAAGAGACCCCATGGGGGACAGATGTTGGTGATGGTTTGATGTCACTTCTGGGGAGAACTGGCAAGTGATGTGAAGCCTCTGATAGAATAACTGAAAACTCCATGGTAAAATCATAGAGTTTCTGATGATTCCTATAGAGGACTGACATTACTTCTGGTGGAAAACAGGAGCTGGGTATGGGACTAGAAGACCTGCTTATCTGTCAACATGGTGAACCAGAATCAAATCTGGGAGAGTGGGGTTTGAGTCCCTACTCCTCCACATGCAGCTGCTGGTGTGACCTTGGGTCAGTCACAAGTTCTCTCAGCTGTTCTCTCAAAGGCAGTTCTCAAAAGCGCTCTCTCAGCCCCACCTACCTCACAGGGTGTCTGTTGTGAGGCGGGGAAGGAAAAGGAGATGGTAAGCCTCTCTGATACTCCTTCAGGTATTGAAGGGCGGGGTATAAATCCAATCTCCTCCCCCTTCGTTTTCTGCTTCCATTTTTTTTTTGCCAGGAATAATTTTGCTGATACTAGCATATTACATGTTTTCTCTTACTGGATTCTACAAAAGCCGTAGTAACTAATATCTTCTCACAAATAAATATGTCATTTGCTCTGTGATCTTAATTGGAAGAAAGCTCTACTAAAACAAAGAGGGCTTATTTCCGTTTGTCTGCTAAGTGGAGTGTACCAAATGGAAGTAGAGCTTTCTTCCAAGTAAGATTACATACCAAATGATATATTCAAAATGTTTCTAATAAGGAAGTTTTAATATCCAGATATTTTCCACGAGATATACAGGATTTAAACTAATATGAGTGCCCCAAAAAAGTTGAGACAGATATCCATTTTCATCAAGTTGGTTGATGTAAGTTAAGGGGTAGTGATTTTCTTGTGTTTCATTTATCCTTCTCTTTATAGCTGTCTTCTGATACAGCCCAAATGTACAATATCACCTATTCTATAAGTGGTCCTGGTGTTGACCAACCACCACGGAATTATTTTTACATTGAGAAAGAAACAGGAAATCTCTTTGTTACATGCCCAATAGATCGGGAAGAGTATGCAGAATTTAAGGTATGGATACAAACTGTGGATTTTTAAAAGTAGAGCTTGTAATTAAATGCTTTACTGTTATAAGTTTTGTTTACTGATTATGTATAAATTCTTGTGTTTTCAACAAAGAATCAATCATGTTTATTGCTATTTGTGTTCATTTTGGATTGCATAGCAGCAATGATCTCTACTCATATGAGAGCCAGTGTGGCATAGTGGGCAGGGTGATGGACTAGTATCTGGGAGACCCAGGTTCAAATCCTCACTCTGCCATGGTAGCTCAGTGGATAACCTTGGTCCAGTCACTCTTTTCCAGTCTAAACTTCCTCGCAGGACTGTTGTAAGGATAAAACAGAAGATGGGAGAACAATGTGGTAAAGTGCTTTTAGGTCCACGTGGGGGGTAAAAGTGGGGTATAAATATATAAATAAGTAAATGTGTTAACACTAACCACTGATTCTTCTGGTGTAGTGAAGACAATTTTTATTTGATAGATAAAACTGATGTACACTTGATACTGGAAAAAAATGTCTCAAACAAGGCTTTTTGGTCAAACATAAAAATGCAGTAAATGCTGCTAATGGTAAACTAGAAAGTAAAAAAAGTAACCACAACAGAGTTGAAGAGCAAGAAACGCATTGCTTACCGTGACTGTCACTGTTCCAGTAGTATTATCTGATGAAAAAAAAACACCTCAACATGGCAAGGAACAAAAATTACTTACTGTTGTTTTTTTGTACAGATAATTTGCTATGCAAGGACATCCAATGGCTATACCCCAGAGATGCCACTTGTACATACAATACGAGTAGAGGATGACAATGACTGTCCCCCAGTTTTTAACCCAGATGTCTGTACTTTTTCTGTTCCTGAAAACAGCAGATCTGGTAAGGACAGAGTTGTTTTTCAGTTGGTGTTATAAAATATTAAATATGTTAATCTTCCTGTTTGGGTTTATATTTATTGTTTGAGATGATTAAGTCAGTGTGGGATAACTATATAGAGTTTGTTGGGACTTTTGCAGTATTGTCTGCACTTAAAAGTGGCAAGTTAGAAATTTAAATCCTGAGTCATCAAGAGAAAGGTGGCTTTATAGGTATTTTAAATAAACATAACAAAGAAATTATAATTCCTTTAATAACATATGCTTGTTGGACTTGTCATACCAGTATGTTCTCTCATATTATTTAATCATGGCCAAACATTTGTCGGTTGTACCATAAAGTCAAGGATGCCATTGTGCAAGATGGCAGCTTACCTTTACTTTGTTCTTTTCATTGTGGCATTGGTTAACAAAGGTAGGATTGGTCGCTGCTTGCCGTTCAGTGCTGCAGCCAGCAAAGACAGCTGTGAAATCTTCTCCCACTGGCTGCCTACTGCGACTGCAGCTTTCTCCCAACAAGAAGAGGAAGATAAGCAGATAGTAGCAGTATTCAGACATCCAGTTTAATCCACGTGCCTGTCTTCTCCCTCTTTACCTACATGCTTCTTTTCACATGGAACACAATAAAAGAATGGTGGTTCAGAACTAGCTCTAGTCATCCGTGAATGCAGATGTGCAGATTAACTGGAGTTAGTTTCTCATCTGAGACTGGGATTCATAACCATGGATTAATCCAGGATATAGGATAGCCATTAGTGGAAGGCAAACTAATTCTGGTTATGCTGTGCCTGCATTTATACAACATGGGAAACTGCAACTGGTGGTCTGAAACTACCATTCCATCATTCTGCTCTGCATGAAGGTTAGGTACATATGCAGGGCAGCCAGAAACTGGATTCTTGCATGTTTTTATTTAACAGCAGTTCAATTGAATACCTGAATATACCCATAATGGCAAAGGACACTTCTAAAACCTTTTTGAAAGGTCATTCCACTGTTTCACAGCAACAGTCAGTAGACCTGATCTTTTTTTGACAGGTTAACTGCCCAACCCGTATCTCTGTTTAAACCATGTTGAAAATATTTTTTTTGCCAAAAAAAAATCTAATTACAGCATAGAATTTGTATATAGATCCTCTTGTATGGAAGTTTACCTATATTCCAAATTGTGGATACATATACATATACTTTAATATACCCTTTGGGAGCTATTGATACTTGATATGAAGAATGAGATGGTCTTGGTCTGTAAAGTCTCAGTTATTACTGAAATTTTCACTAAATTTGTATTGTCCTTTTAGGTTAAAATATATTTTTTTGCTAAATATGTACCCAATGTCACATTTTGTATCTCACTGAATAAATGGATGCTTGTAGTTTTGCCATAATGTGGTGAGGAGGAATTTTATCCCTACATGAAGCAAAAACTGATTCTCATAGAAGTTAATTATGGATATTTATGGAATCAAAGACTCTTGGTGCTGTCTTAGGCAAACATTACACAATGATTATCAAAAGGGAAATGCCACATACAGCCTTAGCAAGAAAACCCACATAGTGGTACATGTGGCTGCATAATAATATACCTTGAAGTAGTGAAATTTTGTATAAGATTGTGCTCCCTTAAACATGCAAAAGGAAAGCACCCAAAGAGTGCTTAATGCATGGAATCACTGACACAGGAAGTGGCGGTGGCTACCAGCATGGACGGCTTCAAGAGCGAATTGGATAAACAGATGAAGCAGAGGTCCATCAGTAGCTATTAGCCACAAGGTATAGATAGGAACTCTCGGTCTGGGGCAAGGGATGCTCTGTGTTCTTGGTGCTTGGGGGTGGGCAACAGGGAGAGGGCTTCTAGCGTCCTGGCCCCACTGGTGTACCTCCTGATGGCACCTAGTATTTTTGGCCACTGTGTGACAGAGTGTTGGACTGGATGGGCCATTGGCCTGATCCAACATTGGTTTCTCTTATGCTTTTATGTTAAATGACTGATACGGTGCTTAGGTATTTATCACCATAGAATATCCAAATACAAGTCTTGTTATCAAACCTAGATTATCTGCTTCTGTAATTAGAAATCAAAACTTTTCATCAGTTTTAGCAGTGTTCTTTGTTAGGATTGGCACATCTAATACGTGCAATCTGTAGATAAAATACAGATACTGGTATTGCATGGAATACGTCTATCTGCCTGTCTTTCCTTCTATGGCTCAGCTTGCTTTCATTTTGGTAGAGCATACTTTGAAATGCTTGGTACGAATCTCACTGAAATGAAAAACAGTCATGCCTGGTAAGTTGTGACCACAGCTTTCATTAAAAATTGCATGTTAGCAATGCTGTTTAATCAGTGTTGTTTAATGTGCATGGCTTTTACTTTCTGTAAGTGTGGGGGCATGCTTTTGTATGTGCAAGGCTCTCTCTTTTTTGGCTAGGTCTCAAATGCTACTTTGAGGTACTCTATACTGCAGCATTTAAAGCGTAACCTTAATAACTTGTATGTGCAGGTACCTTGATTGGAGAAATGACTGCAACAGATGGAGATGAGATTGGTACACTACACACTAAACTGAAATACAGAATTGTGAACCAGAATCCAATGTCTGCTCAGTATTCCAAAATGTTTGCTATAGATGGAGATACAGGTGTTATTACTTTGGCATCCCCAGGCCTGGATAGAGAGGTAAATTTTCATGGAAGGCCAGTATATTTATTATTATTGGTGTAGTATTTACTGGTAGAGTGATTTGATTTGATTTATTAGACATATATCTGGCTTTCTCCTTCAAGCAGGCTCAGGGTGGGTCACAGCATTTCAGTCAACAACATAATAACAATAAGACATTAGCGTTTAAATAGAACAAACAAATTAAACAAAATTAACATTAAAAGATAAAATATAAAATCGAGTTTCAGTCCAAGCAAATAGATAGCAACTAGTCAAGGCAGATTCATAGTGCCTTCTGCGATGATGCTTTGTTGGTCTCCTTGAGCAGGGCAAATTGTAATGAGCACTATAAGCACTGCAGCAGTGGGAGCAGGGGAGGCCGAGATGGTTGGATGACCACCGCCTCAACCAAAGGCCTGGCGGAACAGCTCCATTTTACGGGCCTTGCAGAATTGTCATTTCAACTGGGAGTATGTTCCACCAGGCCAGGGCCAGGGCAGAGAAAGCCCGTAGGTATGTTGGTCCCTGGCCACATAGGGCTTTGAAAGTAAGTACCATGAGCCTGAACTGGATCCAGTGCAATTGAGACAACACTGGCTGAATGTGTTGCCTGTACAGATGTTGCTGTCAGCAGGCATGCCGCCACATTTTGCACTAGCTGCAGTTTCTGAGTTAGGTCCAAGTTACAGTAATCCAGCCTGAAAATGAGCATTGCATGGATCCCTGTAGCTAAGTCCTGGGAGGTGAGACAGGGAACCAGCTGTGTGACCAGCCAAACCTGGGCCTCCATAGAAAGTGATGCATCCAGGATCATCCCCAGGCTTCTCACGCTTGGCGCTGGCATCAGTGGCACCCTGCCAAGTGTTGGGAGCTGAATTCCCGATCCTGATATGTGGAGGGGATATGAATTTCTGAGCCACTGATATTAAGTAGTTTGAGAACAGCAAGGCTGGTCTGGTTTGCATTATACAAAGATTTTTATGAGATTGAGCTTGCTATTATGTGACCAAGTATTAGATTTTAAACTTAAGGCTTGCAAAATCTTTGAATATGTGGGCAGATATGATGCCGGTGCAATAACATGCACAGTAGAATGCAGTTAAGTAAAATTTCAATCCTTAGGATGTCTATGTAGCTATAAATGCACAACAAGTACATTTATATACTGTTACATTATTTTCAGGCTGTAAATGAATATGTATTACTAATAGAAGCAAGAGATATGGGAGGCCAGCCCTTTGGTTTGTGCACTACTGGGACAGCTGTGATTCAACTTCAAGACAGAAATGACCATGCGCCTGTTTGTGAAAAGGGTTTGGTATGTCTTGGCACTTTTTAAAGTGTTTTTCTTACCCTTTTCTTATTTCTTGATATATTACAATATTGTTTTTTGTGTCATTACCATAAACCTTATAAATATGTGTCAAAGACTGTAGTCTGTAATTTTTTTCTGCTGATGTTAGTCATGGTAAGAAAAAATGCTGGTCCTCTTACTCTTCCTTCCGGTATTATTTTTACCTTCTGATGCAGTGAAAAACGTTTCTATGGCAGCAGTTCACCTCATGATTTAATCATACCTTTGCTAATTGGTAAGCCTCTCAGAACAGAATCCCTTAAGTCCCTGTGGGTTTATAAAGACAATTAATTATAATAGTTAATATTGCCAGTTCTGGGTTGAAAAATTGCTGGACATTGGGGGATAGAATCTGGACAGAGCAGGGACTTTGGTGAGGTATAATTATGTAGAGTCCATCTTTCAAAGCTGCCATTTTCTCCAGGGGAGCTGATCTCTCTAGCCTGGAGATGAATTACAATTCTGGGAGATCTCCAGGCCTCACCTGGAGGTTGGCGACCCTAACAGCAAGATACACATCCTTTGTAGAAGCAGCAAAACTAGGCCATTCATAGAGAAGGCAATGCTTTTGGTAGAGTTGGGGGATTCCCTGGGTATGCATATATGACCGTAAATTAAGAAAACAAACACAGCCTCTTGAAAACAGAGTGCACTCCAGAAGGCACAGAATATTGGAAGCAACTCAGTTAAAGAAACAAAACAAGCAATGACAGAGTGATGTGGAAACTGGCCTCCTCAAGCCCAAAATTATAGAATTTTGGAGGCAGAAATTTATATGGAAAGAATTTCCCAATACCTTAATTTTCTCCTCTTCCAACATTTCTTTACAGCCTCTCTGCTTGCTGTCATTAATGCCAAAATTCAGAATTAAGGTACCTCTCACAAATATAGCGAAAGGAGCCCACCAAGAGTTAGGTGTGAAAGTTTTGATACGCAGAAAAAACAATCTAAAAGAGAGCACCCGCCCAAATGACCTTTAGTAGACTAAGCACACTCACTGCTTTTTTTGAGGATCAGTTAGTATGTGTGGGGATGGAGGAGCGAGAAGGAGGGAAATGAAAATTCGGCCTGCTTTACTCCTAATATTCTAGAGGAGATTCTGGAGATTTGTGTTAGATGTGAATTCCCAGTCACTTACCTCTTCTTCACAGACACCCAATATATATAGTCTATATTATTTATGATTCGAGCAGCTTCAAATATGTATGTTTAATTAATTGAAGATCTTGTTTATTTTAGTATGAAGTGCATGTGTATGAAAACACAGTTGGTGGAAAAGTAATAGAGATTGGTGCCATAGACAGAGATATGCCGAACACACCAGCCTGGCATGCTACCTTCAAGATTATAAAGGGAAATGAAGATGGTGCATTCAGAATTGAGACAAATCCAGATTCAAATATTGGGACTTTATGTATTGATAAGGTAACTGACAATGAGAGATTGTAAAATGTAATGGGTGGTATTTGTAGACGTATTTTTGATTTTTAATGGATTCTAGCCCTAAGCTAGAAATAATACATATTATTATTTTTGACCAAAGCAATCTCCTTGAAATTGATATATCTTAATGTCTCAGAATTTAATTTCAATGGATAGTCATTGTCTACTTTCATTTCAAGCAGATGCCGTTTTATCTTTTGTATGTTTAAACAATTATTTGGGAAGGAGAAAAACCTGCATATTACTGTTCCAATTTTATATCATGCCAAAGGACATTTTACTGTACAAATCCCTCTTTAAAACTTTTTTAAAAATACATTTTGTATCCTTTGAAATTACTGGCAAATATGCTTGATGGGAATGAGATTAAAATGGCTTTTTTCATATATTTTAAAAAAGATTTATTATATTTGAACTTTATCCAAAGATAGATGATAGAGAGGATCCAAATAGTTGAAGAAGTGTCAGGCTGTATGAAAAATGTGTCTGCTGTCAGGCTCCACTCTCTTCATTTGTCAAAAACAGTAGAATGAGCAGAGACATGAAACAGAGACATTTTTACCAAATGTGCAATCAGGCAGTGAACAGCTCAAGTTTGCAGAACAGGGAGGGAAATCTAAGCGCATTTATAAAGTACGTCTGACTGCACAGAAGGGGTTGAAGGGGTCCCTGGGGATGGGGGGGGAGATATTTGTGAATTTCCTATGTTGTGCAGGGGGTTGGACTAGATGACCATGGAGGTCCCTTCCAACTCTATGATTCTATGATTAAGGCTGTTCGTGTGGTTCCTTCCTCTGATCTCAGTGTATTCAAGGATCCCATCTGGGCAGAGGCTTATATCATATATCTACTTATATTTCTTATTCCCAACTGGGGTATAGTATGGATTACTAGATCTGCACAATGGAGCTACAGAGAAATAAGGGAGATTTCTCTACAAACCTGAAGGAAGGCCAAGTTTGCAGAAAAATCTAAAATCTTCAAAAAAAACAAACACAAAAAAACCTACATTGGGGGATTAACCCCTCCCCCAATAATAGAAACAACAAGAAAAGAGGGGAAAATGAAGACAAGAGCAGATAAAAATAGGTTGGCTGGTGAATGGGAAGAAGAGAAGGAAGCAGGAAAAGAGAGAAGGCTATGGGGGCTGCTATGGAAGAAAAAGAGGGAAAGGTGGTGGAGGGGGATGCCTGCACAAGTTCTTGCAGAGCCCTGCTTGTGTTTACATGTGTGATTCCTGATCAGGATATTTTATTTTTTATTTTTTACTTGGGATTTATATCCCGCCCTACCCAAGCGGCCCAGGGCAGCGAACAAGCGGCAACGCCGGATATCAGATCACATGTTTGAGAGTCTGTGTGGCTTAGAGACAAAACAGCCAATTTCCCACCAATTTTCCCTTCATGCTGCAGACTCACATATCATTCCTCATGGTCCCCAATCCCCCAGAGTAGCAGTTTTGGAGATCAGTAGCAGGGAAGGGGGAAAAGCAGGAAAGTTCAGATCCACCAAAGAAAAATTTGTTTTGGGGCTAACCCTTTATTAGGCCTCATGCAAACAGCACAGCTCTCAAATTCAACTCAGAACTCAGCTATGGAACTTAGATGAAATAGTGATTGACTCCTTCCTTCACTCAGTTTAACACAACTGCAACAGTACTTTGGGATGATCATTGTAAGTTTAGTTAAGTCTTGGGTAAAGCATGTGTTCACCTGTCCACTTCCACAATTTACAATTGTTTATGGCTGAGAATGGCTGATTATCTTCAGCTGACATTGATACCCAAAGCAGTCCTCAAGAGTTCAGCCTGGTTTCAGGAGGAGCTTTCTTGGTTGCCATAGCATGTTCTTTGAATTGCCATATCCTGTTCAGTAAAGGCTGAGGCTGCCTTCCCCTTTGTGTGGTAGCAGAGAGAGAAAATCTTTGCTTCTTTGAGGCCACCTTGTTAAAAATGAAGAAAGAAAAATAGACTGTAGCTTTTTAAAAAATGTCATGTGAACATATACAATACTAGAAAGCAAAAATATGGAATGCAAGGCAAGAGGTTGACTCCTGTCTCATGAGATGGAGAGCCCATACAAATTCTTGCTTTCTGGGCAGTGCCTATCTGAACGTGAAGAGAGCACTCTGGAAGAAACTGGGGGGGGGGGACAATTCTTCCATTAACTGTTTTTCAATGGAATTTCAGATTTCTTTTTAAAAGGTTACTTTGGATGTGCTTCATTATTTTTTTGCTATCTGTTTGAAAATTTCAATGAGTTTCCCCCCCAGGTGATAGCATATCTTGTGTTTGACCTATTAACACAGTGCTTATTCTTTCCTAGGGTCTAGACTATGAAAAAACAAAGGAGAGAAGATTGGAAATCATTGTAAATAATGAAGAACCTTATGTACTACCACCAAATTCAAGAGCTGTTTCTCAAGGTTCTTGTGTTGTTGTTGTCAAAGTACAGGATGTAGATGAAGGACCAGTATTTGACCCCAGTGTGTATATTTTAAATATTAAGGAATGTTTGCCTGGTGGAACTGTGGTTGGCCATTACCCAGCAAGGGACCCAGAGACCGGAAATAGTGAAGACATTAGGTATTGCATTTTATTGCCAAATTTGTTTCATAATATTGAAATACAGACCCTACAGGAAAAACATAATCCATAGATATAGTATATCACCACACTGGTGAGTTGCTTATGTGTGACAAAACTAACTTTTTATATTATTTTGCTACCTGGTAGTATATGTACACTTCCAGTAGGGTAGTATATGTACACTTCCAGTAGGGTTGCTGTATGGCCTATCCTTTCTGGTCAGGGAGTTGCAAGCTATACTAGTTTCTGAAGAAGTAGAGATGGGGAGGTGGAGGAAGGGGTCAGTTGGGAGGGACATCTTTAAATACCTTGAGTGATTTACACCAATACAACTGGGTTTTAAGGAACTGCTACAGTTTTGAGCTACAGAAGTTGCCCTCCATATTCCAGTACTGACTGTAAAGCCTTTTATTTTTTATATTTATTTTATTTATTGTTAAATTTATACCCCGCCCTCCCCAGATGGGCTCAGGGCGGCTAACAGATGGGCACATATGCAAAAATTCCACAGGTAAAAACAGAATAAAACAAGCAATAAAACGATCATTCATATAAAATACAAGTGCTCTAGATGTCACAAATAACAGATGGGGTCACACATAACAAAGTGGTCCCAGAGTGTCACAATAGACTCCAGGTGGTACAACGATCCGTCCTTCCTCCCAGGGCTATCTCGTTCCCCGATGACACCCACTCCATTTAGTGATGGTGGTACGGTGATGGTATAGTGATGGTGGTGGCTCCTACTCAAAAGCCTGGCGGAAGAGTTCCATCTTACAGGCCCTGCGGAACTGTGCCAAGTCCCTCAGGGCCCGGATCTCCTCTGGGAGCTCATTCCACCAGGTAGGAGCTGCCACCGAAAACGCCCTGGCCCTGGTGACAGCGAATTTAATATCTTTGGGACCTGGGGTTACCAATCGATGTTGAGTCCCCGACCATAGTGCCCTTGGGGGAACATATGGGGAAAGGTGGTCCCTCAGGTGTGCAAGACCCTGGCCCTATAGGGCTTTAAAGGTAAGAACCAGCACTTTCAAACGAATCCGGTACGCTATTGGCAGCCAGTGCAGCGCTTTCAGGACAGGCCTTTTATGGTCCCGCCTAGTGAGACCCATCAGCAGCCTGGCCGCGGCATTCTGCACTAGCTGCAGCTTCCGGACTTGCGACAAAGGCAGCCCCATGTAGAGAGCGTTACAGTAGTCCAACCTCGAGGTGACCATTGCTTGGATCACTGTGGCCAGGTCATCGCGGTCAAGGAGGGGGACCAACTGCCAAGCCAGCCGAAGATGGTAAAAGGCCGACTTGGCAGTGGTTGCTACCTGGGCCTCCATCATTAAAGCGGAATCCAGGAGCACTCCCAAACTCCTAACCTCCGACGCTGGCACCAGAGGCGCCCCATCGAAGGTTGGGAGAGGGAGCCCCAACCCCGAACCAACCCAACTCAGGCCCAGGACCTCTGTCTTTGCTGGGTTTAGCTTCAGCCGACTCAGCCTGAGCCAACCAGCCATGGCTTGTAACGCCCGGTAGAGATCTTCTGGGCTGGAGTCTGACTGGCCGCCCAACATCAGATAGAGCTGGGTGTCACCTGCATATTGATGACACCCAAGCCCAAACCTCCGGGCAATCTGGGAAAGGGGGTGCATATAGATGTTAAATAACATCAGGGACAGCACCACCCCCTGAGGCACCCCACACTCAAATGGGTGCCTCTGGGACCGCTGTTCCCCGACTGCCACCTTTTGTCCCCGACCTTGGAGAAAAGAGGTAAGCCATTGGAGGGCCAGCCCCTTAATCCCTGCGTCAGCGAGGCGGTGGGTCAGCAACTGGTGGTTGACCGTATCAAATGTGGCTGACAGATCTAACAGCAACAGTGCCGCCACACCGCCTCAATTCAGGTGCCTTCAGAGGTCGTCAGTAAGGGCCACCAGCACTGTCTCCGTCCCATGTCCCAGGCGAAAACTGGACTGGAAAGGATCTAGGATGGAAGCATCATCCAGAAAGCTCTGCAGCTGTAATGCCACTGCCTTCTCAATCAATTTGCCCAAATAGGGCAACTTGAACACTGGTCGGTAGTTAGCCAATTCCGCCAGGTTCAGAGAAGGTTTTTTCAAGAGAGGGTGGACCATTGCATCCTTGAGTGCCCCCGGGAACCGTCCCTCAGAGAGGGACTTGTTGATAATCTCCCGTAGGGCACCTTGAAACCCCTCGTGGTCTGCTTTAATGAGCCAGGAGGGGGACGGATCAAGGCTACAAGTGGTTGCTCGTATCTGTGCACCCAATCTGTCTACTTCCTCCAGTCTGAGTAGGGTAAAATACTCTAAACCCGGAACCGAAGCCGTGCAAGGTGCCTCAAGTTCGCTCACTGTTTCAACTGTGACAGGAAGGTCGCGGCGGAGTGCCAAGACTTTATCTGCAAAATAGCTCGCAAATGCCTCACAGCCAATGTCCAATTCCCTAGCATTTTGCCTGCCCTGCGGCAGTGCTGTTAAAGACCGAATTGTTCTAAATAATTGGGCTGGGCGTGAGCTAGCAGACGCAATCCTGGCCGCATAGAATTCTCTCTTTGCGGCCTTGACTGCCATCTCATAGGATCTCATAAACGTCCTATAGGATGCTCTTGATGCCTCGTCGCGAGCGCAGCACCACCGTCTCTCTAGCCGTCTCAGTTCTCGTTTCATCCGCCGGAGCTCCTGGGTATACTAGGGTGCCCGCTTAGAGCGAGTGCGGCGAGGGCACCTGGGAGCAATCTCGTCGATGGCTGTGGAAAGTTGGCTATGCCAGTCCTCCACAAGCTCATCCAACGAGCCGTCAGGGGGCCTCGGAGCCCGTAGAGCCATCTGAAGCCGCATAGGGTCCATTTGGCTCCGCGGGCGAGCTAAAATCCACTCGCTGCCTAAACAGGGTTGGGGTGGAACATTCAGACGGGCCTTCAGGGCATAGTGGTCTGACTATGGTACTGCTTCTGCAGTAATCCGGTCCACTGTCAACCCCGCCGTGAAGATCAAATTGAGCGTGTGACAGGCCCGATGCGTAGGGACCGATATGCCATTGAGAAGCCATTGTTAACATGATGCTTTAGAAATATTTGCAGTGGTCTAATTCCAAACACTAGGCTTGCAAGCATTTAAGGTGGTTTATTTATCTCTAACAGCTACCTACATTTATTCCCAACAGGTATGGAATAGTACAAGACCCATGTGGTTGGATCACCATGGACGAAAGAGGTGAAATCATAACCACTAGACTCTTAGACAGAGATGCACCAAATATGCAAAATTACCAATGTAATGTAACAGTTTTTGCTACAGATCGAAGTGAGTACCAAATGCTATAAATAGCTTATTTGTTTTATAGTTGACTACAGTAATTCCATATGAAACTTCCTTAGATTAACTGCCATTTGAGTCCTGATTTTCAGACCCCCTGACTACCCTCATTTGTTGGCAGATTAAATATAGGGTTTTTTGCTTATAACTTCATATACCACTAGAATAACTGTTATGCTTATTTTACTATTATCAGCTCAGGCTGTTTCACTGGCATGAAGTGTATTTTTAAAATCTTAGATTTTCATAAAGGTAATAGTTTGTATGAAGTAATTAATTGAGTGTAGGATGTCAGAAGATTATTCTGAAATTATCCACGTATTTAATAGTTAAAACTATATAAAACAACATAGGCCTTTTTCTCTCTCTACCCTTATTAGACTGCTGTGTGGTTTTTTTTTAAATAACCTTTCTCCAGTTTTCAGTTTTTGTCTCTTTTATAGTTTTTATAGAGATATTTAGTATTTATTATTGGGCAAAATACCTTGTATATTTGGCATGATCTTTGGCTCTCACCCCTTGCGGTCTCAGGCTGGGAGAGGAGGAAGGTCTGTGGATATCCTTCTCCTCCTGCCAGCCCTGTGCTGCACTGACTGGAGCAGGTGGCCAGTTGTGACCTCCTCAGCCACCTCCCGCCATGTTTTAAAGCAGGACTTGCTTGTTCTTGGACTCTTATTTAGTATTAATTAATTTCATTTAGCCAGATGTTCATGCTGAGACTCGAGGCAGATTACAAAATACAATTCAGTCAGTCAGTACAAGACCTCCAGTGAACAATTAGACTACGATTGCAGAACTGGAGAACAGTGGAAACGAAAAACTATTTTACGGCATTACACAGAATAATGCAGAAGGTAGATTACAAGGGGAGAAGACAATTGTTGGCTCTTGCAACATTTGTGCAAACCTCAAGAGTTTAACATGGAAATGCCTTCCATATAGAAATGTTAGAACAAAGTTTGAGTCCCGTGGCAGCTTTAAGACCAACAAAGTTTTAGTCTGGGTATAAACTTGTGTGTGCATGAACACATATATCTGAAGAAGTGTGCATGCATACAAAAGCTTATGCCCAGAATAAAACTTTGTTGATCTTAAAGCTGCCACTGAACTCAAACTTTTTTCTGCTGCTTCAGACCAACATGGCTACCCACATGAATATAGAAATGTTGTTTATATGAAATGGCATTCAGTACCTTTCAAACTATTCTGTTTCAAGATGTATTTGTTATGCAGGGGCAGACAAGTTTAGGAATTACACCAAAAATTATACTTATCTTTTATCTTTAAGAGGCTAAACTTTGCCAGTTTCTAGAAAACTCTGTTGCCATTTTAACCATTTCTGGTAGGGGCACCATCCCCCTAGCTGGGGTGAGAGATCCCCTGCCCCAAGCTCCCATGCCCACCACTGCTCCAAGCAGCAGAGGAGGGAAAGTAGAAAAAAAACCCATTTGTGGTGATGTCAGTTCTGGGGCAAACCCAGAAGCAATATTGGGTAGTTCTAGGAATTGGTAGATTCTAGGGCTATTGCCTTTATTTCTGGTCTTTCTCCAGAAGTGATGTCATCACACCTGCAATAACCCCCCACCTTGTCCCTGTTCTCAGCCCTCTCACCTGACAATTCTATTCTTAAGAATCCAAAATCAGCAAGCAACAATAGAGAGGGATGGGGAGTAATGGGGGGCAGGGAGGAAACTTAGTGTGAGGGGAAAGGCTTTGAATTTGAAAAATTGCAGTCAGGTTATGGTGGTCAGTAGTCTGCTTGGAATGAAACCTAAATAGGACCCACGGTAAGTAGGAAATACCAAAAATCAGCAAACATCGTGCTACAGACGATTATAAAATATCTCAAATAATTTATATATATTTTTTGTTTTATATTTCTACAATTTATTCACCATATATTATTTATCATATAAGCCTTAATACATAGAAAGAATCATATATCAAAACATCTAAGTATCGTCTCTTAATATATCAGAAAAGATATTGCACAACCCCTTTATTAATATCAGTCCTTCTTAAGTATACAAAGTTTTAAGAGGGAGGACTCCTTTAAGTCTATTTGTAATAAGTGCTCAGTCTTCTTCCACCAGAGGTCCAGATATCCTCCTGTTTCAGTGTCTTCCTCAGGGAGTTCAACAGATATTTGCAAGCACAAGGTTGCCAAATACCAAAATATTTATCCAAATTTTTCAATGAATGCTGCAAAAAGTCTCTCTTAGTGAGCTCAAAGCTTCCTCCATAGGGAACGTGCTTTTCACTTTGTGAGGGCTCTATGACCCAAGGGCAAAGTTGTCTTGTATTTCCTGGTCCATGATCTCCTACTTTTTATGGGGCAGGCACCTCCAGGGGATGTGAACCACTTTCCCTTGCAGGATGGCAATGTTATGTTTGATCAGTAGTGTCAACCCGGGACGTCTGGAGAACACATCCTGTAGGTGCACACTGCCACCCAGGGTTGACGTTTTGGCTCTCTGAGTGTTCCAGGACCAAAGTGGGACTTGTGGGGTACTCATTCTTGGGGCTCTGGAGCATTTTGTCATCAGGCAAAACCCCATGAGGATTGATGAGAAGACATTTAGGATCAGATTTTGGGTCCATTTGGGCTCACATTGTACTTCATAATTCATCAAAGTCGGGATACCAGTCAGTAAATAGTTGAGCCCCCAGTGGTGTGTCCTGTTGTGGGAAGATGAGCCCTTAAACTAAGACCTTGTCCCCCAACTGGAACTCTTGAACCCGAGACCCATGGCTGTACTTCAGTTTCTGGTAATGTTGGGCCTTGGTCAAGTGAGTCTATATTCTCTTGGACCCAGTGCAACTTGGCCTGCAAACTGGCCACATAGCTGGAGTGTTCTTGGCCTGTATCAGCTGGACCAGATCCCTTTGGTCCCTGGCTACAGAGAATCATAGAATCACAGAGCTGGAAAGGGCCATACAGGCCATCTAGTCCAATCCCCTGCTGAATGCAGGATCAGCCTAGAGCATCCCTGACAAATGTTTGTCCAGCCACTGCTTAAAAACTGCCAGTGAGGGGGAGTTCACTACTTCCCTAGGTAGCTGATTCCACTGTTGAACAACTCTTACTGTTTTTCCTAATATCCAGCCGGTACTTTCCTGCCCTTAATTTAAACTTCTTGTTGTGAGTTCTATCCTCTGCTGCCACCAGGAGCAACTCCCTGCCCTCCTCTAAGTGACAGCCCTTCAAATATTTAAAGCGAGCAATCATGTCCCTGCTCAGCCTCCGCTTCTCCAGACTGAATATTTCCAAGATAATGCTAGTGGCTCTCCTCTGCACCTGCTCCATTCTGTCTACATCCTTTTTGAAGTGAGGCCTCCAGAATTGCACACAATACTCCAGGTGCAGCCTGACCAATGCAGCGTACAGCGGGACTATGACATCTTGTGATTTGGATGTTATGCCTCTGTTGATACACCTCAAGATTGCATTGGTCTTTTTTGTCGCTGCGTCACGCTGGCTGCTCGTATTTAACTTATCGTCCACCCGTACCCCAAGATACTTTTCACACACACACTGCTACCTAGAAGTGTATCCCCTATATAGTATGAGTGTTCCTCATTTTTGTTACCCAGATGTAGAACTTGGCACTTATCCTTGTTAAAATTGCATCTTGTTCACATCCACCCGCTTTTCAAGTGTGTTCGGATCTCATTGAATTCTATCTGTATCTTCTGGTGTGTTCGCTGCTTCTCTCAATTTGGTGTCATCTGCAAATTTAATGTGTAGCCCATCCATACCCTCATCAAGATAATTTATAAAATCTAGCAAACCTTGGAGTTTCCAATCATTCAGTAGTTTGAAAAGCATAAACTTAAAGGAATCCTGTGGAGCCTCTCAGATGGTAAACAAAATAGACTATGAATTTGCCCTTATGACAGACAAGAGGCACAATGTGAGGAAAGGCTGAAGAGTCTGGAACTTTTCATTTTAGAAAAGAGATAACTAAGGGGGTCATGATAGAGGTTAAGGTATGCTTATGTACTTTTACAGCTCTTACTTGATGCTTTGTAATTGTGTTCAGTATATCTCAATAAAGTTTATTTGAATAGAAAAAAATGGTAGAGGTTTATAAAATTATGCATGGGGTGGAGAAAGTTGACAGATAAATTTTTATCCCTCCCCCCAGCATACTAGAACTCAGGGGCATCCAATGAAGACGATGGGCAGTGGATTCAGGACTGAAAAAAAGAAATACTACTTTACATAGAGAGTGATTAAAATGTGGAATTTGCTGCCAGAGGGTGTACTGATGGCCACAGGAATAAACATCTTTAAAGGGGGATTAGATAGATTAGTGGAAGATAGGCCTATCAGTGGCTACTAGCCATGGTTACTGGAGGGAACGTCCATGTTTAGGGGAAGTAAATCTCTGAATCCGGTGCCAGGAGGTGACATAAGGGAAGGCCTTGGCCTCTGTGCCCTGATGTTGGCCATCCAGACGAACTGGTTGGCCACTGTGTGAGACATGACACTGGACTAGATGCCTTCACATTTTTTATGCCTTCACATCCTGGAACACCAAAGTGCCCCCCCCATCACTCCAGAATCTTGGTGTTGGTCCTGGCAACTTTATGGACTGTGTTGACAAAAGCCGGCTGGGGCAGCCATCCCATTGTTCAGTAAGTTATTTTTTGTAGATGTCCTGTTAAAGCAGTCCTCACACAATTATATTCTTGCTAATCTTAAAAATAAAAAGTTATAACTTGGGCAAGATATGAGAACAGCAAAACAGTAAGGTTAACATTAAAATTGTTTCTATTTCCTAGGTGGCAAAACAGGCACTGGAACAGTGGTGATTAATCTAGAAGATGAAAATGATAATTACCCAGTGATTGTTGAACCAGAAAAAATAATGTGCAGAGACAGAAAACCGATTTGTCTCACTGCTGTGGATGCTGATCTACCTCCTAATACTGTTCCCTTCACTTTTGAAATGCGTGATAGAAACTTGGGATGGAGACTGGTAGAAAATGATGGTGTGTATTTTATTCCTAAAATCTTTGCTGCAGTAACAATGTAAATGATGATTATGAAATAATGTTCCTCACTTGGTTTGTGTTGTTTCTTTTGCAGATAGATCTGTGTACCTGGTACCAGATGACAATATGCCCTATGGGGATTACAGTATTCCTGTTGTGGTCACTGACAGTGGTGGAAGAAGTGGTATTACTAATGTAAGAGTTCGAGTGTGTGACTGTACGACCCCAAGTGATTGTACTGGCGCCGTCCCACCTCGATACAACGAACCTGACTATCAGCTAACACCTAATGTTAGCCTTGGACTTTGGGCCATACTCGCAATGATTTTGGGATCATTATTGCTGCTATGTAAGCATATTTATACTTCTTTATAGGGAATGTAAAATGCTGTTAATGCTGACGAACACTATACTGTAAAATACAGACTGCTTCTGGCATCTTAAGTCCTGAAAGTACTTAAAGCTAGTTTAGTTAACATTTATGTATTATTACACATTGAGGAGATACTGCAATTGTTATTTAATCAAGCAAGCAAAACAACAATATCCTGTTTTAGGTTCTATGCAGGTTCCAGCCTAAAAGTGTATAGGTACACTACTCATATGAAAACAACTTTATATAAATATATCTCCCTATCTGGATGAGGAGCTAAATACACAACTAACAGTGCAATCCTAAACAGAGTTACACCTTCTAAGTCTATTGAGGTCTCAAGCTTAGAACTGTGTAACTCTGGGGTTTTACTGTAAGTGCAGTTTGTCCTTTCTATTTAACTGGCCAAGGCTGCACAAATGACATCTGTAATGTCAGCTGCATTTTAACAAACTCACACAATTTGGATAGCCAGCTTGAAGTTCCAACTTTTCAGACTGATATGCAGAATATGTGTAAAAGTTGCTTTGGTTTTGGAGATCAGCATTTCCAGGGGTCGTTTCGTAGAAAAAGAGCTAGGGAAACTCATTAGCATAACTCATTAGCATATACCACACCCCCTGACATCAGGGGCCCAGCGGTGGACCTGCAAGGCCGGCGGGAGTGCGAGGAAGCCCCGCCAAGGCCCTCCCTGGCCGCAGGCAGGCAGGAGTGCGGAGAGGCGGGGATGAAGCAACTTACCCTCCCTCTTCTCCTGCCTCCTCCTGGCTGAATGAGGGCCGGAAGCGGGGCGGCTGGAAGCAGGGGGCGGGGCTTCATCATGTGCCCCGCCCCTCACCCGGGGGAACTGTGTTCCCCCGCGATCCCCCCCGAAATGACCTCTGAGCATTTCTATAGTGAGTGTTCCAGTTCTCTGGTCACATTGTGAAGCAGAACTTGGTGTGTGAGTTAAGGCCTTGTGCAGTGAATTTCCCATTCCATGACCACTGTGAGCTATGTTTACTAATCAGTGTAAACATGATGGACGTGAACCATTTCGTATTGTACTAAATGTTACACCCTGAGGTGGGAAACCTCTTTATGGAGATCCTATTTGAAAGACTGGTTTGTGTTTATAGCTTTAAAACTGTGACAACTGAGAACTGCCTTTTCAGTGGCAGCTCCACAGTTATGGAACAGCCTCTCCAGGGAGGTGTGCCTGGCCCCCGGCTGCTGAAGACAGTTTTATTTAGGGCTGCATTCGGCTAATTTAGTTTTTATTTATTGGCAGTGCTAACTGAGATTTTAAACTGTTGCCTTTTATGTGTTTTATAATCTTAATTTTATTTATATTGTAAGCAGCCTTGAGTTCTGCAAGGTGGAAAGGTGGCTAATAAATGTTTCAATAAAATAATGTACAATTAATAGACAATGTACAACTACATATCTAATTTTCAGTGTGGCCAAATATGTGGATACTTAAATTCAGAGACTGGAGCCATGAAAAGAAAGATAAATCTCCAAGAAAAATCTGAAATCTTAAAAAAAATACACTACGTTAAAAAACTGAAACTAATAGAAGTAGTTCCTATAGATTTAAGAAACAAATGTCCTCTCAGCACCCATGGGGGCAAATACAAGCATTTCCTGTCTTCAAGCATTAGCTTCTGTCATAAAAGGTAAATGGAGGGAACAGGGCCCTTTCTAGGGCTGTTTTGGCCTTTGAGAGAGGACTTACCAGGGCCAGACCTAGCAGCAACCTCTGGGCAACTTGCTACCATGAGTCTTACAAGACACACCCAGGCTTATCTGCTTGCTACGGTTCAACAACTGCCACCCCAAGTAAACCAGTGTGGTAAAGTTGTTAGAATTTCAGACTAGGAGCTAAGAGACCCAGGTATGAATTACCACTCTGCTGTGGAAGTTCACTGGGGGACCTTGGACCAGTTACACATTTTCAGCCTAAATTACCTCACAAGATTGATATGAGCATAAAAAGGAGGAGAAGAGAATTTAGTAAGTTAACATTGGGTCACCTTTGTGGACAAAGATGGTGTTAGTACAGTAAATGAATAATATAGGTGAAGATGGGGAGCAGATAAAAGATAGGTTGGCTTGGGGGGGGAACGAGAGAAGGAAGCAGGAAAGGGTGAAGGTATGAGGGCCGCAAGGAGGAAATAGTGTTGGGAGGAGAATACAGGGGAAAATGAGATCCCTATCTCAACTCAAGTACTTGCTGGTTCTCCACCATGCAACTAGACCCTGAAATCAGCAGCAGGTAACTAAGCCATAGTTTTCCTGGGAAGAGGCTGCCAGTGGGCGGTAAGGAGGATAAGCTGAAGATGGCAGAAAATGTAGGTTGGCTGGTGGGTGAGAATGAAAGAAGGAAACAGGAAAGAAAAGAGGAGAAGAGAAGGGATTGGGTTTATACCCACCCTTCACTATCCGAAGGAGTCTCATACTGGCTTACAATCTCCTTCCCTTCCCCTCCCCACAACAGACACCCTGTGAGGTAGGTGGGGCTGAGAGAGCTCTTTCAAGAACAGCTCTGAAACTGACCCAAGGTTACACCAAGCAGCTGCATGTGGAGGAGTGGGGAATCAAGCCCAGTTCTCCCAGATTAGAGTCCACCCTCCTAACCACTACACCAAATTGGCCCTATAGCCAAAGAGGCTATAGGGGCTTTTAGGGGAGGAAAAGATGAAATACTTGGGGAGGCAAAATGTGTTTCCCCCAAAATCCTTAATGAGTTCCATCTTGCTATAACTACTCATAAAGTGATTGATTGAAGAGTTTGATGGTTATCTTTGTCTTAAAAGGTGATTGAAAAAGTATATTTTTCTTGATATAGTACTGCAAATAAATTTCCAGTCTCCTAGTGGAGAACAGTAGAAGCTCTTAATATGAGGTATGTGTCTGGATTACATAGCGTGTGGAAAAATTTATCTGCTATAATTCAGTTCCTGGCAGCTTATTAGAACAAATTTCCCAAACTACTAGACTAAGGTTAAACCATTAGGACCACTGATGATAGCTAGGTAGTGAATGCATATTATGTGGTGACAGGCCAAATTCTATTATCTCAGGAATTTCACTTGCACTATCCTACACAAACCATGTATTTTTTATTTCTTTATTTAAAGCATTTATATGCCACCAGAGACCTAAACTAGGCAGCTCACAACATAAAAGATAAAATCATAACATAGAAGTGTGTTCCATCAAAGCCAGTGAATCGCACTTTGAAGTAAACCAGTTTAATTCTGGAGACACTGTTGCTTCATGTCTAGCTTTCACCTTCCTGCAGTGATTCTGATAACACTTTGCGGCTGCTGGGGTGCTGCGCCTGTGAGCAAACATGTATGTGATGACTTAGCTAATCAGAACTTGATCATATCAAACACTGAAGCTCCTGGAGAAGAAGTAATGGTAGGTTATTTGGATAAGTTGTTATTTATGAATCACTTGCAAATACTTGGTATTGAACACACCTTAAGCAATGGGTTCTGCTGAAGAGTGTGGACCACCAAGGGGAGGGAATGGAGAGTGAAGGTGGAGGAGGAAATTTGTTTGAAAGGGTGAAAAAGTAAAAGCCCTTGATGACAGCTGAAGAACTGATGTGGAAAAAGCTAGCCACAGGTCAGCAGATTGCAATTATGGGGAATAGCAAGAGGCAAAAAGGGCAGTCAGGAAACAGAAAATGTAATTGTCACCTCATTCTCCCGCTATGTTCCTACTGAAACAAAGTACCTGAAATAGTCAGCCTCTTCTCTGGCCAGAAGACCCTGACTTGGTTGCCGCTGAACCATTCACATGCACACAGAAGTGTCATTTGCCACTTGTAACATAAAATGATGTACTTCAAACAAGAATGAGAAAATAACTGGAGTGCTATTATGTGATAGAAATTAGAATTGATGGATTTCCTAATTCACTTCACCTTTTGAAAATTGTCTGCTTGATGTATCAAGCCTTGGACTTTTTTTGACTGCATTGACAATTTTGTCACCTTATACTAGGGGTGTTCAACCTCTTTAGCATGCAGGCACCTTTGAAATTCTGACACAGAGTGGTAGATCCTAAAAACCACAAAGCAACTACACAATGGCTGTGACAGGAAATAGTCACAAAACATTGGGGAGTGAGGTCGTGCATAGCTCTTAATAGTAAGTGTTCAACATTTTCAGCAGAAGTCTGTTTAACCGGCTGCCTTTTAAAGTGATGCATTGTTAAAAATATTGTGTACACTCAGCTTACCTTCAGCTGCACAGTGAAGGACCTTGTGCTGTGGTGGCAACTGCTAAGTTGTCCTGGATTTTGAGGGAGTACTCGTTGGGGCAGGCCTGGCAGCACCCACCAGGTGACTTTATACCACCTGACTTGCTACTGTTCGACAGCACCCACCTCATGAAAGCTAATAGATCATTACGAACTTTTAACACCAGAGCAGTGTAGCATTTCTCAGGCTGCGGTCACACGGAGCATTAGCCACGCTACAGAGACGGAAGATAGGCAGATTTTCCGGGCGCGATCACACCGCAACATCTGGGAAGCGCAGAGCTCCCATGGCTAACCCAAGGCTTCCCGCCGAAGATGCAGCATAAAAAACTAGTACCTCCGAGGTACTAGTTTCTGGAAACCGCGGGGCAAGGGCAGGCATCTGATCATGTTTCCGGTGGTAGTTTGTGGCATCCGGCGCCCGCCCATGTCCCGTCGCAAAAAGTTTTTCCCCCAAGTCTCCATGGGATGCGCACACCCACCCAACGGCCCATGGGCACATGCACCCAACGGCGCATGCACACACTTCGGTTAAAAAAACAACACACAACCCGTTTGCCACGGTAGCAGCGCCTAGCCATTGCTGTTGTGATCGCGCCGCGCCAGTTCTTTGCCGCGCTGCAGGATTGTCGTGTGATCGGCACCTCCCCCCGAAACCCGGGACGTGTGATCCGGTGGCCGCACGTTAGTTTGCTCCGGGGCAAACAGCCACGCTTCCCCCCCGCATTTTCCGGCCCGTGTGACCGGAACACTAGTTACTTAAATACAGTGATCTGATGGAGTGAGGAGAAAATGGTATCCATAGGGAGAAAATGGTACCTATGGAGGGTTGAGGCTGGGAAAGTGCAGGGACAATTGTGTGCATGCTGTCTTGCCTCTGTAAATGCCTATATTTGCAACAGCTAGGAGTTCTGCACAGAGAACTCTCTGTGTAAAGGCAGCCAGGGTCTGTTACTTGAAACTGAATTAATTCAGGGACTGGATTAGTTTCCACTGAAAAGTCAAATTATAAGAGCCAGTTGCAATGTTTAGAAGCTTTGAGTACAGAATCACAAGTTATACTTGTGCTTCCTTGATGCTTATAGTATACAAAGAAGCTTCTAAACTTGATCCAAACCATACCTGTCCCCTTTTCAATTAGTTAAGTCTTTTTTTCCCTATTATATTTTCCATTAGGATCCAAACATACTTCCTGTGAAAACAGGAAATGTGGTTACTAGTGATCAAGGGGCTGGCCTTGGAGTAAAAACTGGAGGACAGGAGTGCTTTGAAATGGTCAAGGGAGGAGGACATCAGACCATGGAATCACTTGGAGGAGGAATTCATACCTTACAGTCAGTCAAAGGACATCATACACTGGAATCTGGAAGGGGATACGGACATCCCATGATGGATACCTATAGACACTCTTATTCAGAATGGCAGAATTTCACACATCCTCACTTAACCGAGGTAAGGATGCTGATCTGTATTTATTAATAGCTCATGTACCTTTTCTTATTGTTAATATCAGCTGTCCACAACAACCATGAGTTATGAGAAAGTATTTAGGCACTTCTTTGAATTCATTGGCTTGCAATGTGATTATTTTTTAAAAAGCTGTGATTTCATTTCTCTATAGAGTTTGGGTTTAGAGAAAAAATATTTTTTTCTTTGTATGGCATGGTTGTGTGTGTGTGTTTGTGTGTGTTAAATACTGTCAAGTTGTTTCTGACTTATGGCTACCCTATGGCACGATAACATTTTTTAAAAAAACAGATAAAGATTTTGATCTGACCATGGATTTGCTATTTACATATTTGTTTTGGCTTGTATTTCCATTATTATTTTTGCATTTTTCTTCCTTTGATCTAACTTTTCACACCTCTTCTAGGATTGCCTAGGATCTGTGGGTTGGTTGTGAATGATCATGAATAATTTTATCTCTATTTTATTTAAGTGTATGGTCATTCAGCAGTGTTCTTTCTGTGTATATTTGTGCTGATTATGTGATATTTTAGATTTAGTGTTTGTAACAAATGCCTAATAAAGGTTCTGTGATGATGATGATATTGCCCAGTATTTTCTAGCAGAGGCTGTTTAGGTAGTGCATCCTGAGAAAGAATATGTGGCATGAACTGAACCCCAGACACTTAACCTGTCTATAATAAATATTATACGGTTATAATTTTAAATCTTTTTTTATGAACTGATTTTTTAAAACTGATAGAAGTTATTTGCATTTTATTGTTACATATGTGATCCGTAGAAGTTTGATATTTTTGTTAAATTCTTCTTAGAATGAAAGATATAGACCAATCATGTGCATTTTTTATATATAGGAACCCATTAGAGGACACACTCTGATTAAAAATTAAACATTGAAAGGTAAATCAACGAAATTATTTTTATGCCATATGTTTAAGTTCTTTTAAGAAAAGAAATAACCTGTGGTTTTCCCCCCCTCCCCTTACAGAAAGTGTATTTGTGTGGACAGGATGAAGAGCATAAGCATTCCGAAGACTATGTCCTTTCATATAACTATGAAGGAAGAGGATCACCAGCTGGTTCTGTAGGCTGCTGCACTGATCAGCAAGAAGAAGAGGCACTGGACTTTTTAGATCAGCTGGAACCCAAGTTTAGGACATTAGCAGAAACCTGTGCAAAGAGATGAGTTTGGTGATGACAGTGCAGAAAATCATCGCCTTTTCCGTAGGGGTGGCTGTTGTAAAATTTCAGTGGATTTTTCTATTTCCCCCCCCCTTTCCTGTGGGAGTGGTTAATCAAAAAATACACTTTAACAGTATGTTTATCAGTATCATTGTTTCTGTACCTAAACTTCAGGATGCTATATAATTTCATCTACATGCAGCACTATCTCAGACTTGATTTACCTTTCAGCATTGAATTAGTTTTTAGCGTCTTTAAACAAAGTCAATATTATAAGCAAACGGCTTTGTAAACAACAATGTATTTTCTGTTTTTTCTGCAGATATTTGGGGCTGGGTGTTAGAAAGTTTTTGTTTGAGTCATCTGATGCTTTCCTTTAGTTTTATCGAAATAAATGCTAAAATGCTATTTGCTATATGTTAAAATAGTAATTTCTTACATTCATGATACGAAAATGAAAACTTTTGAATTTTAAAATTGTGAAATTAAAATTAAGTAAAATGTGATCGATTATTTGGGCAAAGGTTCCTAAATTAGTAGATTGACTTGTGCGGGAGAGAGGAAAAAGCCTTAATGTATAGTTGTAGGATGCCTAATTTTTTTAAAAAAACATTGAATTTACATTTAACACATTTGCCAGTACAAGGAGTGCATGTACAGCCATTCCAGCAAGAAGCACTGAATGAAAATGTGACATTCCTATGGTATTGTCAACAATTTTAAAAAAAATCAGTATTACATCCCATAATTACATTACATTACATCAGCTAAAACTCTGTTTTTTGTAAAATTGGTCATGAAATGAAGAAGTTTGGCAAACATAGTGTATGTTCCCAAATTATATTAATTATGTAGTAATTGCAAATATGAGTTGAGCACCACCACTTACTATTGCATCTTCCATCTCAGGTAAAGTGGGAGACAATCTTAGAAAAGAGGATCTGGAGTGGCTGATGCTTTGTAATTTGCCCTGAGGGTTCTGTTATACAGCAGTGAGTGTGGACGGTCTGTACTCCCATCAGTATATTTTCCTAATTTGTTAGGTAATGTAAGAAAAGGATAAAGGTGTGTGATGATGGAAAGTTAGAAAAATGAAAAAGGGCAAGAAGCACACAGCCTTTAGCTTCTTGATATCCCTTATTACACAGCCGTGGGATTGTGTAATAGGACACACCTAAGCAGGCCTTTTCAGAAATAAGTCACACCTCCATGGAATACCAGGGCTGGGAGGCAGAGGCAGGTTATCAAGACACTTCTCTGAACATCCGCTATGCCCCATTAGGAGTCGCCAGAAGTCGCCATGACTTCCAGGCACAGGCAGACACACACACACACACACACACACACACACATGCAAAATAAAACATATTAGCTCTAGGGCTGTGAGGTCTCCCACTAGCAGCGAGAGAAAAAAAATGAAATTAGACCCCCCTCAAATAACCCCACGTTGGTGTTGTGCATACCATGGCATCCCTTCTGGGGAAAACCTGCAAGTGATGTCAAGCAGCTCTAGGAATTGCTGGAAGTTCTGTATTTTTGCCATAGAATTTCTAGTGATTCCTAGAGCTAACTGGTTTCCCCAGGAAGTGATGTTGCAGTATACATGACATTGTGTCACCCATGTCCCCGCCTCTGAAACTTCTGCTGATTGCCAGGCATGGCACCAATTCATCATTAAGGCTTAAGTTAGTCATAACTAATTTCTTCCATTGTTTTCAAGGAGATAGTCACAACTAACTGTAGCAGCATCAGAGATCTTATAGATAACTTTGCGACAGATGTGATGAGAGTAGAACAAGAAAAATGGGCTATGTCAAGCTTTATTTTGTATGTTTTTATTTTACAAAATGATAGGAAGAGATCATAGCTTAACTGATTTGTTTTTAACTTTTCACAAAAAGTGAAACCAAAATTACAATGAAGAACAACCTTAGAGGTCGTCAGATGGTCAGCAACAAAACAAAATAATATTCTGGGCTTCCTATGTTCTGGTTAAGAGAAATGTATTCCCATAATAGTGTAGTTTTGGTGGTAGTGCCATGAATAATAGCAGCTCAGAAACTGTTATAAATGTTTTAATTGTACAATTGAAAAGACAGTCTAAAATTTAAATGTCTTAAGAAGAGCATCCTGTTCATTTAATGGAGAAAAATGAAACTTCCTGAATTACACTACTGCTTGAATGTACGTAATTTAAAAAATGAGGACAAGTCTAATCTTGAATTTGTCCCCCCTCTAAATGTCATTACTTATGTCATGCCTGTTTTGTAAATTATTTATTTAGTAAAGTTGTAAATCTATCCTGACTTTTCCCAGGCAATTTAAACTGCAAAAACTAATGATCATAGGTCCTTAAAAACATTAAAACAATAATAGAAATACATAAATGTAAAAACTCTATAAATTGGGGGGGGGGGTTCTGTTGTTTTCAGTTTATAATGTTTGTAAGAGGATGAAGAGTGTAATGGTTGAAAGTGTGTGGTATGAGCAGAGAAGTTCAATCTTGGCTTGTCCATAAATCCCCTGAATTGGCCTTTGGAAAGTCATTATCAGCCCCCTATCTGTAATATGGGAATCACACCACTGCCCTGCATAACAGGGCTGATGCAAGGGCTGCTGATACATTTTCTTTGAAGTGCTTTCAGCACTCATGAAAAGTGTTATATATAAATACAACTTATTATTATTATTGTATTTAGTAGCTTCGATAGGGTTTCTGGTGTTTTTTGTTTTAATTAACAGCTTTCTCTTTATTGCTTGTACTACATTTGGGTATAAAAGTCTTAGAATTACAGAGACAGGTTTAGCAAAACATTTAATTATATTAGTCTGGCTTCTCTTGCTGTTACATGGTGTACATGTGGTGCCTTTTCGCAAGCTGTATTCTAAGGTTCCTTGGAAACTTGGGTTTCTCAGTAAGAAAGTAAACAATGATGGGTGATGGGAAGGCAAGCTTGCCCATCCCTACTGTCACTTTTTCCTGCAGTGTGCAGCTCATATTGTGTAGCCTGACTGGCTTGTCCAGAGCCCCTCCACGAAGTGGGTGATTTAGAATATGCCCTAGAACCCCTTGCAGAGTGTGTTGGTGTTCTGTGGCAGATAAGCTGACATAGAAAGAGTTCCTGGTAAGCAGAGGTCTTGAAAACCACTGTGTCAGGTAATTCCCTTGAACTACTAAATTTACAGAGATAAAAAGAGAAAAATAATTTATGATTTAATATGTAAAGTTTGAGAACTTTGTATTAATTATTTATAAAACTTTACAATATACAATCATATCTAATGTTTTACATTTTTATTTCACCAATAGAAACGGCTTTGAATCAAATTGTAATCAATCTGTTCTTTCCAGCTGGCTTCTTGTAAAACAGTGCTTAGTTGTGTAAACACCCTGTTTAATTTTGCATTTTGGAGATATTTTGTACAAAACAGTTTAGCAATAAAATGGTTTTTATTTGAAAATAAAGGGACCTACTACAGAACTAGCTCATTTACTTCTATTCTGTCTAACATTTATTGGCAGGTATGATTGCAAATGTGGTTGGAACTTCTGTAGGGTTGTGGGCTGAGCTTATCCATTTCTCAGGCCTTCTCTCCTCTCTGCCTCTATTGTTCAAAACACTCCATAAGAATAGCCTCAGCATATGTTTGACTGCTGGGCCACAGGATGTGTGGTTCCCAGGCGTGCCTTGGCTGTGTTGGTCTCAGATGGCTGTATGGGCACTATGTGAAGTGAAGGCAATTTGTCAGAGCAGTGGGAATTATAAACAATTGCATCTTTAATCAAAACAAAGGGCCTTCAGTCTTGTTCTATTGTTAGGGTTGCCGGATGGTTTTCAGCAAAATACTGGACACACTTGAGAAAAAACTGTCAACACAATTGTACACACACACAATAAAAAAAGTCATTGACACTATTATAGAATATAATCCTATTAAGCTTCTATTAAAGGACAAGGCATTTAACTCCAGGCCTACCCAGTCCTAGTCTGACATGCTAAACACTAGTGTACCACAATATTCTCCCATTTAATAATACAAATACAGAGATTTTAAATTGTTGTGCAGAATGTAGAATTTCAACTGATAAACCAATAATAGGTTAAGTTTTCTTTATAGTGCTATTCCGTAGCTTCTGAAAAGCAAAAACATTGAGTTCCTGATCATATTATGGTTTCTAGGGCACGAGAATGAGAAATGCCAGATGTTCAAGCTGGATTCAGAAAAGGAAGAGGCACTAGAGATCATATTGCAAAGTTACTGTGGTTACTAGGGCATACAACAAAATTTCAGAAGAAAATCAGCTTGTTTTTCATAGATTACTGCCAAGTTTTTGACTGGATCATGAAAACCTATGGTTTTAAAAGAAATGGGTGTGCCGAAGCATCTGATTGTTTTGATGTGCAACCTGTATTCCGGACAAGAGGCTAATATTAGGACAGAATATGGAGAAACAGAATGGTTTCCAGTTGGCAAACGTGTCAGACAAGGATGTATTTTATCTCCCTCTCTCTTCACTATATGCAGAACATGTAAAGAAAACTGGATTAGATTTAGATGAAGGTGGAGTGAAAATCGGTAGAGGAACATTAACAATTTGAAATATGCAGATTACACCACATTACTGGCAGAAAATAGTGAAGACTTGGAATCATTACTGATAAAGGTTAAAGCAGAAAGTGGCAAAGGATTACAGCTGAACATCAAGAAGACAAAAGTAATGACTACTGAGGAATTACACAGCTTTACACAGCTTGTTTTTAAAAATTCCATTTCTTGGCTCCATTATCAACCAACAGGGAGACTGCAAACAAGAAATCCGAAGGAGATTGGTACTGGGAAGGGCAGCCACAAAATAGAGAAGATACTTAAGTGTAAGGATCTGTTGCTGGTGATCAAGATATTTCATACCATAATATTCCCCATTGGTATGTATGGATGTTAAAGCTGGACAGTGAAGAAAGCTAACAGAAAGAACATAAACCATTTGAAATGTGTTGAAGGAGAGTTTTATGGACACCATGGACTGCCATAAAGACAAGAGGTTCTAGAGCCTGAACTCTCCCTAGAAGCTAAAATGACCAAACTGAGGCTATTGTACTTTGGTCACATTATGAGAAGAGAAGAATCTCTGGAAAAGACGTTAATGCTAGGAAAAGCTGAAGGCAGCAGTAGCTAGGGATAAATTTGGAACTTGTAAGCCGCTCAGAGACCCTTCGGGGTTGGAGCGGGGTAGAAATCGAAGATATAAATAAAATAAATAAAATAAAAGAGGAAGACCCAACATGAGATAGATTGACTCAATCAAGGAAGCGACTGCCCTCAATTTGCAAGAAGAAGAGCTGGGTTTTATAGCCTGCTTTTCTGTATCCTAAGGAGTCTCAAAGTTGCTTACAACTGCCTTCCCTTCCTCTCTCCACAACAGTCATCCTGTGAGGTAGGTGGGGCTCAGAGTTTTGAGAGACCTGTGACTGGCCCAAGGTCACCCAGCAAGCTTCATGTGGAGGAATCAAATCCAGTTCTCCAGATTAGTCTGCCACTCTTAAACACTACACCAGAAGTGTCAAACTTATTTGTTAGGAGGGCTGGCTGTAACATAAATGTAACTTTGTTGGACTGGGCCATGCATACCATAAAATGTAACATAAGGTACCGGAGATATAAACTTTAAAAAGGTGATTTTGGATGCCAGATGGCAATAACAGATGAATGAGAACAGCATGCTTGATTGTATTAGTTGTGATATGCAGAGGGGTAGCAGTTCTCTTACAAAGAAAATTCAAAGTGAGATTTGAAAGAGAGACTGCTGAATTGCAACTGATAATGAATGTCAATGCATTCTCCAGGGCTGAACTGAGACCTAGGTTTCCTGTCTTATTACCAGTGCCTGCTATTGTCATTTGGCATCTAAAATCACTTCACACTCCATGATATAAGGACCAATGGACTCACATTCTAGCTGTATCTGAAGAAGTGAGCAGTGATTCATGAAACCTCATGCCCTGCAACAAATTCTGTTAGGTGCTACTGGACTCTTGCTCCTTTCCACTAATAAAACTTGCAAGCTGAACTGTTAGGTTTCTTTTTTCCCTTCATCTGCTTAAACTGGAGAAGGGGACATCTCCAAGTGCAATAATGTATTTATTTCAGATTGAGCAAAATCCAGTCAAGTGTTGGTGATGATCCAAGAAATCCAAGAAATCAAGAAGCGTGGCATAAAGATCTCAGGTGCTCTTTGACGGAAAATGGGACATCATCTGGAAAACACA